GGTTATGTGAAGGGTGTTTGGTGTCGGCTTGACTACTGGATGGTCGCGGGGACGGAGCGACTGTTGGCATCACCATGTCAATAATGATCGGGACTGGGTGTCGGGAGTGCCGACCTGGTTGTCGTGGTGCAGGTGTGACTGACGGCTCTGGTGCTCTCGTTGCCGGGAGCGGCTGTCTTTCAACTCGCTGAAGGGCGCGAGGTACAATGCTTCGACACTCCCGACACCAGCCTGGAATTGACGCTCCCGGGTTCGGCTTCTACGAACGGTAGGCCGGGTTCTCAGGTTGCGTACTATGTGCTGAAATACCCTCTGAATCTTCTCGGTCAAGGTCGAAGATTCTTTTGGAAGTCTTGTTCACCACTTACCATGATCTCCACATTGACTGATCTGATCCGCAAAGGAATAGCACCGCAGCCTTGACGGGGCAGTCGACGCCGTTTGGCCCAGCCGAACATTGGACGGGCGGGTGCCGCTCATCGACTTTGTCGTCGCCCTGCTCCCAGAAGGTGAAACTGTACCGTGGCATCTCACCCAGCTGCGAACACGGCGTTGGCGTGCTTGAATCGGCCTGGCTGAGACGGTCTTTCCCCTCTATCGCATTGAGTTCGTCGCGCAGGCTCCGCCCCATCTGGCCTTCATTCCAACCAGACCGCCTCCTCACGGCGGTACGAGTCAGTTAACCAGCCCCGTACAGAAAGAGTAGTAAAAGCGGGACGATTTTTTCCTTTTTTCAACATAAGGAACCCTCCCTCGACCCTGTGTAACAACTGACATTTTCTGACAAGAAGTGCAACGCTGCTCACGGCGTCAGTGGCTTTGCCGAAAAGTCCTTTTCACCCGAAAAGTCAGCTAGGTCCACCGAAAAGTCCTCCAAGCTCGGCCATGCCACTCGTTGTATGATAGGCACGGTCTAATGGAAACTCGACGTACGATACGAGCACTAGGAAGGTAATTGATTCGCGGAGGCGTAGAGGTGGGAAGATGGTTCAGGTGGGAGCGGGCTTGTTGTGGGGTCGGGGACAGGCGCGCCGCTGAACACACCGCACAGACATCCACCACCGACTGACCGACCACGCCTCCGAGCCAGGGTCTGATTACGCTGGTTGAACGCACTGAACGCAGCCGCACATCGTCGTTCTTCGAGCAGTGCGACACCTTGCGCGCTATCATCCGCCCCTCGCAGCGCTCGACTCTTGCACGGTTGTGGTGCGGCTCTATGCCTGGATCATCCAGAAACACGCAGGCAGATTGCCACGAGTCATGTGCCAGCTCACGCTCGTCTGTACTTGATTAGCATCGTTAAGATCCCGTCCGGGCCGTGCAGATGCAATCTAACTTGGGTGCAGTGAGAGCCGCGCGTGAGAAGCACAGCGTATGATGCTGGTGAGTGCATGTCGCCGTCATGGCGACCGAAGCCGCACTGGTGCATATGCCCGGTGAGTTAGTCCTGGTTCGGGCCCTTACGACGGCCATCATTGGTGACGTCCCCCTGGTGTACACGCTCCGTCGATAGATTGTGCGAAGTATGTGGCGCCCTGCCGACGCCATGCCTACTCCATATTGTCGGAGGGTATGATGGAACGACGCACGAGACCGTGGACGGAAGAGGACGATGACGAGTGAGGGCTGCCGAAGAGGAGTTGTCCGCGGGTGAACTGGACGCGCTGGCATCGACGGTGGGGGCATCAGTCACTTCGTGGCGTGTCCGAAGTCCAGCGCTGAGGAGTGTGTGCGGCGGAGTTCGAGGCGTACACGTCAGAGTTTGTACAGGATGGCGCAATTGGCTGTCGAGTGCGGGGTGGAGACCGGGTGGTGCGATGTGAGTCGACGGGAGTGTACTGGAGACCTTTGTTCGGGGTGCTGGAGGAGCGGGGCCTTGCGGGGTTGCTGTGGACCCGAGACGCTCTGAAGAGCGTACCGTGTCGCAAGACCGACAGTGCTGGACTGCCAGTGCCTGCAGCAGTTGCCTCACCTACGGTCGTCTGTCGGGGCGTTCAGCCCGAGACGGAGATAAGAGTGCTCAGGAGCTCCCACTGCGCCAGCGCGCGATGCTGGTGAGGCCGCCGGCGCATCACGTTCCACCATGCACAAGAGCGCTGACGCAGATGACACATAAAGCTTCAGCACGTCATAAGCGACATCCCGGCAGGACTGGACGGCGATAGTTGCGAGCGATAGTGGGAGGTGAGAGGGAGAGCCGAGGCAGCTGCGAAGCTGAAGGGATCTCTCGGATTAAACAGGCGCGGACGAGAAGACGATAGCGGAGTCACTGCGCTGGTCACTGGAAGCAGGAGCACATCTCGAGCTGTACGCAGGCGTGGAGCTGTACACGGTGTCCGGGCCAAGATGGAAGAGTGCGACAGTGAGATAGAGTTGACATCTGAGGAGGTGTCGAAGACCGCAGCGACGGCGGTGTACCCGGCCGACAGGGGCCGCCGAAAGTATAGTCGTGCGCAACGCGCCCAGGGTCGATGTGCGCACACACCTGTACAGATGACCGGGTGGACCTGACCGCGATAGACGGAGTGGACAGCTACACCGCGCGGAAGAGTCGAGCGCGATGTTGGGGTGGATATGAGCGGTGGCGACGGCGAAGCACTTCGCGCCTCATGCTGGAGCCTGAGCCCCACAACAGGGTGAGTGGAGGAAGGGTGATGAGTTCAATGATACAGCAGCCAAGTGCGAACAGGGCCGCCACAGCTCTGCGCCTCTCCGCGTATGCGCTGCACCGCTCTGACAGCGCGCTTGGAGCGTTCCTTCGCAGAAGAAGGCCCAGCTTGGAGCGCCGACGGCGATACACGGCGACGGCGCCAACAAGCATGGCGCGCGATCATCTACTCGATGCTCAAGTACGGACCGGAATACGCTCGACAAGGAGGGCCGACTTACTACGAGAGTCAGTATCGACAGAGAGCGCTCGAGCAATGCCAGAACGCAGGGCCTGCACACCTGGGTCTACAGGTAGTGCACGATAGATGGCGACCGTGACCAAGCGATGATTGCAGCTGCACCCCGTCAGCGCCTGAGGACGATTAGTTACGTCTAGTCTAGCATCGTTAAGCCCGTCCCGGGCCGTGCAGATGCAACTAACTTGGGTGCAGTGAGAAGCCGCGTATGATGCTGGTGAGGCATGTCGCCGTCATGGAGACCGAAGCCGCACTGGTGCATATTGCCCGGTGATTAGCATGGTTCGGGCACCTTACGACGGCATCATTGGTGACGTCCCCCTGGGTAACGCTCCCGTTCGATAGATTGTGCGAAGTATGTGGCGCCCTGCGACGACATGCCTACTCCATATTGTCGGAGGGTATGATGGAAAGACGCACGAGAACGGTGGTACGGAAGAGGACGAGAGGGCTGCCGAAGGAGTTGTCGCGGGTGAACCTGGACGCGGCGGGCATAGACGTGGGGGCATCCAGTCACTTCGTGGCGGTGTCCGAAGCAAGCGCTGAGGAGTGTGTGCGGGAGTTCGAGGCGTACACGTCAGAGTTGTACAGGATGGCCAAATTGGCTTGTCGAGTGCGGGGTGGAGACGGTGGCGATGGAGTCGACGGGAGTGTACTGGATAGCTTTGTTCGGGGTGCTGGAGGAGCGGGGACTTGAGGTGTTGCTTGTGGACCCGAGACGTCTGAAGAGCGTACCGGGTCGCAAGACCGACGTGCTGGACTGCCAGTGGCTGCAGCAGTTGCACACCTACGGTCTGCTGTCGGGGGCGTTCAGGCCCGAGACGGAGATAAGAGTGCTCAGGAGCTACCTGCGCCAGCGCGCGATGCTGGTGGAGTACGCGGCGCATCACGTTCAACACATGCACAAGGCGCTGACGCAGATGAACATAAAGCTTCAGCACGTCATAAGCGACATCACCGGCAGGACTGGGACGGAGATAGTGGAGGCGATAGTGGGAGGTGAGAGGGAGCCGAGGAAGCTGGCGAAGCTGAGGGATCCTCGGATAAAGGCGGACGAGAAGACGATAGCGGAGTCACTGCGCGGTCACTGGAAGCAGGAGCACATCTTCGAGTTGACGCAGGCGTTGGAGCTGTACAGGGTGTACCGGGCCAAGATGGAGGAGTGCGACAGTGAGATAGAGTTGCATCTGAGGAGGTTCGAAGACCGCAGCGACGGCGGTGTACCGGCCGACAGGGCCGGCCGGAAGTATAGCCGTGGCAACGCGCCCAGGTTCGATGTGCGCACACACCTGTACAGGATGACCGGTGTGGACCTGACCGCGATAGACGGGGTGGACAGCTACACCGCGCTGAAGGTGGTGAGCGAGGTTGGGGTGGATATGAGCCGGTGGCCGACGGCGAAGCACTTCGCCTCATGGCTGGGCCTGAGCCCCAACAACAGGGTGAGTGGAGGAAGGGTGATGAGTTCAAGAACGAAGCCAAGTGCGAACAGGGCTGCCACAGCTCTGCGCCTCTCCGCTTATGCGCTGCACCGCTCTGACAGCGCGCTTGGAGCGTTTCTTCGCAGGAAGAAGGCCCAGCTTGGAGCGCCGAAGGCGATAACGGCGACGGCGCACAAGCTGGCGCGGATCATCTACTCGATGCTCAAGTACGGACAGGAATACGTCGACAAGGGGGCCGCTTACTACGAGAGTCAGTATCGACAGAGAGCGCTGAGCAATGCCAAACGCAGGGCTGCACACCTGGGCTACAGGTTAGTGCCGATAGATGGCGACCGTGACCAAGCGATGATTGCAGCTGCACCCGTCAGCGCCTGAGGACGATTAAGTTAGTCGATAGCGGCTTCGGCTGAGGCGTTGCGGTGTGATGGACATGTTCTTATACTCCGGCTATGTGCACGGACAAAGACCCTCCACCCTGTGAACACGACGGGAGCTGATCGCCTTGGTCAGCCGACAGCAAGATCAGGTCGCGCGTCTGACGACGACGATCAAGGAGCTTCGCAAGCAGCTCGTCGCAGCGCAGCGAGCGGGCAAGCGCCAGGCGGCGCCATTCTCCAAGGGCAGACAGACCTCAAAGCCCAGACGTCCGGGTCGAAAGCCCGGCATGGGGAACTTCAGCTACCGTAAGCCACCCTCTGTCAGATGAGCTGTCGGGGCCGCCAGTGGATGTGTCGGTGGACGACGACAACTGTCCCGGATGTGGAGGAGTGCTCGAGCAGGAGGGAGTGGATGTTGCGTACGTGACCGACATTCCCGAGATGCCCAGACCCGAGGTGACGAGCTACCGGGTGCAGATGTGCCGGTGTCGTGGCTGTGGCAGACGTGTACGAGGACGGCATCCCGATGTTGGACCGGACCAGTACGGGTGCAAGCGCACACCGTATGGGTAGAAGAGTGATGGCTGCGGCGCACGTGCTGCACTACGGAGTGGGCATACCGGTTCGTAGGGTACCGACGGTGCTGAGGGCGCTGACCGGTGTGGAGTTGAGCCAGAGCGCGATCACCCAGGACGCACTGCGCCGTGCCCGGGGCGCTGTGGGAGATGGGTACCGTAGGCTTCGGGAGTCTGTGCGTGAGAGCGCGGTGGTGCACACCGACGACACGGGCTGGCGAGTGGGCGGAGAGTCTGCGTTCCTGATGGCGTTCGAGACCGATGACGCCACGGTGTACCAGGTGCGCTCTCGTCACCGTAACGAGGAGGTCAGGGAGGTTGTACCTGCCGACTATGCGGGAGTGATGGTGACCGATCGAGCGCGGAGCTACGATGCTCAGGCTCTGTCGGGAGTGAGACAGCAGAAGTGTCTGGCGCATGTGCTGCGCTCGATCAGCGAGGTTATCGAGACCAAGGTGGGCAGTGGCCGCAGCTTCGGGAAGCGACTGAGCGAGTTGCTCAGAGAGGCGATGGAACTGCGGGAGTCGGAACGTCGTGGAGAGGTGGCGGACTATGGTGGGGAGACGGAGCGGTTGAGACGAGAGGTGAGCCACCATCTGCGGGACCGTCCGCTGTCTGATCGTGACAACTGGAGGCTGCAGAACGAGCTTGGCTGGCAGGATGACCGTGGGAACCTGCTGCGCTTTCTGGACGATGGTGGGATAGAGCCGACTAACAACCGGGCGGAGCGGGCGCTGCGCGGTGCGGTGATAGCGCGTAAGGTGTCACACTGCTCCAGGAATGAGGCTGGTGCGGATGCGTTCAGTGCGTTCACCAGTGTGATCAGGACCCTGGCTCGGCACGGTGGGGGTCAGTCGGCGGTGGACGGTCTGTGTGGTGTGTTCAGCGGCGCGCCTGTCCACGCCCGCTCCATCTGAACCTCTCCCCGCGCCCGACTCCGCTAATCAATTACTACTGTGGTTAGCGCGGACGGGGTCGTGGGGCAGACTTCAGAGTTCTGCACACGGAGGCGGTGATCGAGCCGGGCGACTCGCCAGACACGGCAAAACGGCTGGGACTCGGCTCGCCTGCCGCCGGTACGATCGGCACTGAAGATGACGTAGACTACTTCAGGTTGGACTTCACAAGGTCTACTTACGTCATTATCGACGCTACGAATGTCAATTACGTGGCACTCGACGGCAAAATGCTGGATGTCAGTGGCACCTGAACAGTCCTGACTACGTGGACATCAACGTCGAACCAGCATGGGAGGATGGCGTCTTGGGTGAGGGTGTCAATATTGCTGTAGTCGACCGCGGGATGGATGTTGGGCATGAGGACCTCAAGGACAACGTGGACATCGGGTTGAACCACGACTCCAACCTCGATGAGTACGTGAATTATACCATTTCTGTGTGATGCCGCCGTATTTACGCTGGGTGGTCTAATGGATTCCCGCTTTCGCGGGAATGACGAATGGGATCTCTGCTGTATATGATTTGTGGCGTGTTACAGCGAATTGGTATTACTACGGCGTGACTGCCGCTTGCTCGGTGCAAGGTCGGGGAGCCAGAGCGCCCTATTCCGAAATGGGGGCCAATCTCTGGGTGTGCGCGCCGTCGAACGAGCGTCCGGGGGTTTTCGGACTCGGCGGCAGATTTGGAATTGTTACAACCGAGAACTCCGACAACTATGCGAGAGACTTTGGGGGAACTTCCGCCGCCGCTCCTATCGTCTCGGGTGTTGCCGCGTTGATGCGCAGCGCGAATCCCGACCTGACCTGGAGAGACCTGAAGCTGATTCTCGCGGCGTCGGCCCAGAAGAACGACCCCGACAACTCTGGCTGGGTAGAGGGCGCCCGCAAGTACCGATCCGAATCTGCCTCAGACCGCTATCACTTCAATCACGAGTATGGTTTCGGCTTGGTTGAGGCCGGGACGGCGGTCGCAATGGCCAAGCAGTGGGTCAACGTTGGCGAGTTGGAAGTCGGTGGAGCTGGATCGGGAAGCTGGATACGCTCATTCCCGACGCCTCGGTTGACGGACACTCGACTACAACTGCGAGTTCAATCACGTTAGAGAAGGGAATCGGATTCACAGAGTTCGTCGAAGTCAACATTTCGCTTCGCCATCAGTCGCTCCGCGATCTTGAGATTGAGCTAGTGTCACCTTCCGGAGCTGTTTCAAGGCTCTCCGTCCCTCACGATACATACTCAGACATCTACTCGTACTTAGATTTCGTGCCGTTGTACGGCTCATTCCGCTTCGGTTCGGCGAGGCACCCTGGAGAAGATCCGAATGGCGACTGGACTCTCCGCGTCACCGACCGGATTCATGCTAGGGATGGCATCCTGGAGTCCTGGAACATCTCCGTATATGGTCACATGCCCAAGCCCGATGCTCCGACTGTGGACTCGGTCACACCAGGGTCGGGATCATTGACCGACGTAAGTCTTGGTGAGATAGGCGACAGATATGACGCCGACAGCAACGAAGTTATCCACAGGACGACGAGGTTCATACTAGGTAGTTGGACATTTCGACTACTTTACAATGGCTGTATGTCAAGTGTCACCATACCTCCAGAACCATGGCCGAAGATCATCGATTAATGCGGCGGGAAGTTCTGAACGCATACGTCGGTGATGAGGACAGATGCAAGCTGTTCGTCGAAGCCGTTCTGTGGATCAATCGCTCAGGCGCACAGTGGAGACTGCTTCCAGCCGAGTACGGCAAGTGGAACACCATCTACAAGCGCTTCGCCCGATGGTGCGACCGGGGCATCTGGGAGCGAATGCACGAGCATTTCATCGAAGAGCCTGACATAGAGTACCTGATCATCGACAGTACGGTCGTCCGAGCTCATCAGTGCGCTGCGGGCGCGCCTGAAAAGAGGGGGGCAATCATCGCAGGCGCTCGGCAGAAGCCGGGGAGGATTCAGCACAAAGGTTCATGTGAGCGTGGACGGACTTGGCAATCCACTGAGATTCACGCTGACCGCAGGACAGAGACACGACATCACTCAGGCTGAGGAGCTGATCTCAGGGTACAAGGGTGAGTATGTGATCGCAGACAAAGGGTATGACTCACACGGGTTCATCCAACACATTTCCGAAAGCGACATGGTCGCCGTCATTCCCCCTCGCTCCAACCGCAAGCAGCCACGCCCGTACGATGACTACTTATACAGGGAACGCCACCTCGTGGAGTGCTTCATAGGCAAGATCAAGCACTACCGAAGGATATTCTCACGATTCGACAAACTCGACAGCAGATACCTCGGATTCCTACAATTCGCTGCTGTTCTCATATGGCTGCACTGAAATGTCAACACTACCTAGCTATTCAGGACTACCTGGATGGTCAAATTACCAGAGATGAGGTAATAGCAGTCATCAGACTCTACCTGGGCTTCTGACCGGAAGCTGTCTATTCAGCGATGGCCAAGTCAGGCTCAGAGTGGCGAGTCTTTTGTCCGCTAACTTCGGTGTAAGAACTCTCGCCTGGCTCATACCAATTGCATTCCGCTCGGCCACGAGGCCGGATTGCGTGTGGCGGGCGCTTGAGAAGTCTGAGAACCTCGTAAAGAAGGCTGACAGGGGCTGGCTGCGAATACGGCAGTACCTGCCTTCACATACCAGACTCACGAGGTTGAATGAAACTGCTCACAATGTAGCTTGTCGCGTCTGCGCTTTATGTAGTGTAGTAGTAACAGAAGGTGAAACGTACCCTCTTTGCCAAGGAGGAAGTTCGCATTGACTGAATTCCTAGCCCGTATCAGCGCACGGAGGCCGTGACGCAGTGGGGACTGCATGGCGTTTTCGGGGTCGTGGCGCAGCTGGTGGCTGATTGCGTGTGCGCTTATCGAACCTGCTGCCCAAGCGTACGACCACTACCGAGTGTTACGTATTTCTGGGCTAGCAGAAGCTACGAGTCACAACGAGCATCCGCCGCGCTAGAAGAGAAGCTACGAGGCCCTAAACCGCTCTCGGAGCCTGTGTCATCGGTCAGTCCCGTCCTTGACTGTCGATTGATCCGCGTTCGCGCAAAGTTTCGCAGAAGCTGTACATGCTCAGATCACAGCGCTGGGACCTGACAAAGTCCGTGGACGCTTATACTGAACAAGACCCGTTTTCTGGTTGTCTCACCACGACCAGTAGGACCACCATAATGAGCTTGTCCTAGAGGGGACTTCGAAGAGGCTACCGAGAATGATCGAGGAACTCATTCACATTCGTCCGGGAATCTGATGGCATTGACGAGTTTCGTGTGCTCATCGGTGGAGACGCAAGTGTAGCCTTCGAGAACAATGAACTGAGCGCGGAGGATCTTGAGAAGGGAGAGCGGTTCGGTATCCCGGCGCTTTGATCATTCTGCTGGCGCTCTTCGGCGCCGTCGTCGCCACACTTCTGCCGTTGGGTCGGCCATCGTCGCCATACTCCTCGCGTTGGCGGCGGTGGGGATCATTGGGCAGGCATTTGAGCTGATCTTCTTTGTCACGATGATGATTACAATGATCGGGCTTGCTGTAGGCATAGACTATTCGCTGCTGATCGTGTCTCGATTCAGGGAGGAGATGGATCGCGGCCTCGATAAGATAGCCGCCGTTGAACGGGCCGGTGGGACCGCCGGCCGCACGGTGCTGTTCAGTGGCACCACCGTAGTGCTGGCCCTTCTCGGTATGCTCATCATCCCGGTGTCGTTCTTCCAGTCGCTCGGCCTGGGAGCCATCTTAGTGGTCATTGCGGCTCTGGCCGCGACCCTGACGCTCTTGCCCGCCGTACTCTCGCTGACTGGCGCCCAAGTTTGAGTCTGCTGGCAGTCCCAATTCCTCTCAAGATTCTAAAATCGGAAGTCCTCAATACGATTACAAGGGAAGCATGGTTTTGGGGAGAGAGACATTACCCACGCCGTAACGCGTTACCCCATTGTCAGCATCCTCGTGATCGGCATTCCGATGATCGTGCTGACGTTCTTCTACTTCGACATCCATACGGGGCTAAACGACGTCAACACCTTCCCGGACAAGTCGGAGATCAAGGAGGCTTTCCTCGTCTTGGAAGAGGAGTTCTCCGTGGGGGACGTCAGCCCTGCTGGCGCGCTCAGCCCAGCAGAGATCGTCATCGAGGGAGACGTCGAGAGTCCGCAGTGCAGGAGGCGATTGCACGTTTGGCTCAGTCTCTCCAGGACGCGCCTGAATTCCCAGTGCCGCCCTCGCTGCAGATCAACGACCAGGGCGACCTCGACATTGCGACGCTTCCGTTCCCAGCGCGTATACCAACAGCTTCGCGCTGCGACTCGAGAAGCATGATCGACTCGCGACACGTCACTACCAGCCGCCTTTGACGGTGTTCCCGCTGAGGTCCAGGTCGGAGGTGTCACCGCGTCGGCCACAGACTTCTACGGCATAGTCGACGCGTACACGCCGATCGTCTTTGCGTTCGTTCTTGGCCTCAGCTTCATCTTGCTGATGCTGGTGTTCCGTTCGATAGTAATTCCCATCAAAGCCATCATCATGAACCTGCTCTCAGTTGGAGCTACATATGGGCTGCTGGTGCTGGTGTTCCAGAAGGGCGTGGGCATTGACTTGCTGGGATTTCAGCACATGCGGAGGTCATCGACGCCTGGATACCCCTGTTCCTGTTCTCTGTTCTCTTCGGGCTCTCCATGGACTACCACGTATTCCTGCTGAGCCGCATCCGCGAGCGCTACGATGAGACCGGGAACAACGCCGAGGCCGTAGCCTACGGCCTACGGTCCACGGGAGGGTTGATCACCGGCGCCGCGCTCATCATGGTTGCGGTGTTCGGTGGATTCGCGCAGGCGAGACCATCGTCAACCAACAGGTAGGATTCGGACTTGCCGTAGCGGTACTCCTGGACGCGACACTGGTACGTCGTACTGGTTCCGGCCAGCATGGAGGTGCTTGGCAGAGGGAACTGGTACCTGCAGCCTGGCTGAGCTGGCTTCCAGATTTGCGAATAGAAGCGGAGAGTAATGAGGTCGCATTGTCGAACAGGTATGATACGGAGCGGCGCGCCAAGGCAACATACCGGCTGACTACGCAGCGGGTTATGAAAACGCCCGAGCGATCGCGCCCGATGTAGCGGCCAAATACATCGCACACACGCACATCGGAGACCCTCTGGGCGAAGCGTATGGCGGGAATAGACCTCGCCAGAGACGGTTCAGAAGCGTCGAGTGCGTAATCGTGTAGAAGAGGCTATGAATCGACGGAGGCGAGGGAGGCTCTCGGGACGCCCCGGGAATCGCTGCGAGAGGAAGTTCGTCAGATGCGCGAGGAGACTCCTCCCGAATGGCTCGACTATTCAAAATTCGCGCACCGGGTGGCCGCGTGCTCACAGACGCGCCAGCTGGTCCTGGCTGCATTCGTCGCGGGCGTTCTGATAGAAGGCTTTACAACGAACATAGCAAAGTCCTTCCTCATCACCGGTCGTGTCCGTGATCAGGGCGTCAGGCGGTTGGGGCAGAACAACCGTCACATGATGGAGATATTTCTCCCGGGCGGCCTGTACAGGGATGGGGACGGATGGAAACTTTCGGTGCGTATCAGGATAGTTCACGCTGGTTGGGCGATGCCTGGGTTATTCGGATGACTGGGATACCGAGGGTTGGGGTTGTACCAATTAGCGCGGAGGCATTGGGTTCGCCATTTCGCTTTTCAGCAGGTTTTGCTTGACACACATGAAGACGCGGGGCACCAGTTACAACGACGACGAGCACAGGAAGCTTCATGGACGTCTGGCGCGACGCCGGCGAAGGAGGGGGCAAAAAAAAAGAAAGAAAAGGATCAGAGGAAATAGGAGAAGGAGGAAAAAAAAAGAGCAAGGTAAGGGGGAAAAAAAAAGGAGGGAGAAAATAAAAAAAGAAAAAGAAGGGAGTAGGGAAAGAAAAGGGGGAGGAGAGGAGGAAAAAAGAAAAAAAAAAAAGAGGGAAGGGGAAAAAAAGTGAAAGAAAAAGGGCGGGCCCGGAAGGTCAAAGTGATCAAAGGGAGAAAAGAAAGGGTGCCCAGAAAAAAAGAGGGAAAAAAAAAGAAGGCCCGGGGAAAGGGAAAAGGTAAGAACCAAAATAAATTAAAAAAATTAAAAAAAAATAAAAATCTAATGCAAAATTTTTTTAATTAATTAAAAAAATAATGAAAATTAAATAATTTCATTTAATTCCTTGAATTTAATAAACTAAAAAAGTATTGAAATATTCCAAGGGGGAAAAGGCAGAGAGAAAGGGTGGGGGAGAGGGGGTAAGGAGAGTCCGAGGGAAGGGGAGAAACGGAAAGGAAGAGGGAAGGGGAAAGGGAGAAAAAAGGAAAAATGGGGAGGAAGGGGAAAGAAAAAAGGAAGAAAAAAGGGAGAAAAAAAAAGGAGAGGGGAGGAGAAAAAAAGAGGGGAGAAAGAAGAACGAGAAGAGAGGGAAAAGAGGGAGCGAAAAACAGAAGGAAACGAAGAAGAGGAAAAGGGGGAAAGAGAAAAAAAGAGGGAGGAGGAAAAAAGAAAAATAGGATTTAAATTATTAATTCCTGAATATAATTCTTAAAAATATTTTAAAAAATTAAATTCAACATTATTTTCCTGAGACTATCTGTTCCCAGACGCCGATGTGAATGAAGCCCTGAAATATGTACGATTATCGGCACAGTGCGAACCGATTCACCGAATGAATCGGTGGTTATCTGTGATGGCTCATATTGCTCTCGTCAACTCGGGCCCTTTGATTGCCGGGGTGACCGAGCCGGATGCCCGCCGCAGCTTAGCCCGGTACGTGTACCGTATTTCCCGCGGACTTATCGGAAAAGAGACTGCGATCACTGATGTTGTCTCAGCCGCGTTCTCCTCCTTTGAGTGTCGGGTGGGTCAAGCCGCACAGCGTTACTTGGGGCGCCTACTGAGCACATAACTCCCCTCCTGCCAAGCCGCCAAGACAGCAACTCTCACGTAGATTCACGTCCTTGGCTGATCCTTCGGTTGTCGACGCTGGATGAAGCCTCCGCTATATTCATTGCCCGACCACGTTTACTCAGAAGAGTCCAGCAGGTGGTAATGTGAGCGGAGAACTGAAGGCAAGCTATTTCCATCCTGATTGCGAGCGATGCTCGACGCAATGAGGTCCGCCGATCTCTTGCAGACGGTGCTGGCACTCAGCGCATAGCACCCGCGGTGATGACCGACCTGATCTCCTCGCGTTCAGATGCAGTCATTTCCCACTCCAACGCCCGGACGTTCTCTTCCATCTCTTCGGGTCTGCGCGTGCCTACCAAGGCGACAGATACGGTGGGCTCTGACGCCACCCAGTTGAGGGCCAACTGGGCAACGGTGAGTCCCTTGTCGGAGGCGATCTCCTTCAGGCGTTCCACCTTTGCGAGGTTTTCGAGAAAGTTCTGGCCCTTGAACAGCGGCTGTCCGAACGCCATGAGACTTCGCCGCCAGTCGTCGTCCTCGAAAGTGGTGTCAGGCGTCATGGTACCGGTTAAGAGGCCGTGCGCCAGGGAGCGTCGGCTTAAATTGATGCCCATGCCGTTGTCCCTGACAGAACGGGACTACTTCCGGCTCCGGTCGGAAGTCGAACAGGTGATAGCCGACCTGGTTAGTCACAATCGGGAAGACTTCCAGGCAGTCGGCCATCTGCTGGGTGCTGAAGTTGCTGACACCGCCGTACCTGATCTTGCCCTGGCGCTGGAAGTCTGCAAATGCCTCCATCGGCTCGGACATGGTCTTGACTCGTCAGGCCAGTGGATCAGATATAGGTCGAGGTAGTCTGTTTGCAATCGAGTGAGGCTCTCTTCGAGAGACTTAGTCAGCGACTCGCGAGAGCTATCGCGCCCTGATCGTCCACCGGGCTGGTCCCAAGGTATTCCGCCCTTGCTGACCAGGACTATGTCTTCCCGCTTCCTTCGATGGCCCTTCCGAGCAGCTTTTCGCCCTCGCCCATCCATACACGGCGGCAGTATCAAAGAGGGTCACTCCAAGGTCAATGGACTTGTGGATAGCCCTGATAACCTGCTGTTCGTCGAATGAGCCGTAGTGGCCTCTGCCCATGGCCAGCCTCCGAAGCCGACTACAGAGGTCTCAAGGTCGGACGTCCCGAAATTTCTGTACAGCATGAGCTTCTCCCTATGTCTGTCCCCTCAGAATAGAAATGCGACCCCAACTCCCTCTGGATTCCGGCCTTCGCCGGAATGACGAGATGGGGACCGCTAATCCTGGTGGATCTGGACTTTCACGGACCCACTATTCTTGTCGTAGGCTGTCTCAAAGGCGGGCTGGATATCTTCGAGGCCATATATGTGTGTGACCATCTGCTCCAGATTGGTCTTCTCTGTGGCGAGCATGTCTATGGCAGCTCGTAATCGTGCCGGCCGTCAAGGACGCTGTAACAAGATGAAAAGACTATCGACTGCTCTTTCAGCATGGGAGTCAGGAAGTCGAATTCGAACGGCCTGCGGAAGCCGCCCACGACTACTATGCGGCCCTGTACCCGCGTGACCTCTACGGCCTGCGTCGCAGTCGCAGACTGATGGCCGCCGACTGTTTCTATAGTCAAGTCGGCGCCGCGTCCGCCTGTGGACTCAGCGATCGCGTCCCAGAAATCGGAGCCCTTGTCCGGGTACACTTCGTCTGCGCCCAAAATCTTAGCTAGCGACGCCTGCTGTTCGTAGCGGGCCGTGGCGATCACCTTGCCCGCGCCGAGGGCCTTGGCTGCAGCTATGGAAGTCAGGCCGATGTTGCCGCTGCCCAGAACGGCGACCACTTCCCCGCCTGCATCTGTCCCCGCCGGACGCCGTGGATGGACACGGCCAGGGGCTTCGACCAGGGCAGCATCCTCCCATGACAGGTCTCCGACCGGATAGCAGCCTATAGCGCGGCGCTTCATGAACTCGGCGAAGCCGCCGCCTTCGCTGGGAGCCATGTTCTGACACGCGCGGAACTGACCCTGCCGACAGTACCAGCAGGTCGTGCAGGCGCGGCCATGTCAATGATCTCGACGGCGACGCGCTCTCCAAGAAGAGCGGGGTCCACGTCGTCCCCGATCTCGACGATCTCGCCGGCGACCTCGTGGCCAGCCGGAAGTCTGTCAGGCTCAGTCTTGTCCACGTTCATCTGGAGATCAGATCCGCAAATGCCGACCGACCTGACGCGAACGACCACGTCGCCCCGGCCTGCCTCGGGTCGGGGGATGTCCCTTACCTCCATTCCGCCGTCGCCATCGAATAACGCGCCCCTCATCGTCGCCATATCGCAATCTCCTTGCTGTCCTATGCGTTAGCTTCCAAGTATGCTCTCGCGCCACTCAATATCAACTCCGGCAGGTTGATGGCGGAGGAGATGTCGTAGGACATCTTGCGTCCTGCGGCGTGAATTCGATCGGCCACGCTGGCCTCGGCTGCCTTCACGTCCGGGTGGTCAGGCTGGCCAGGCAGACCCATGGACTGCGCGAGGTCGTTCGACCCCCATGCAAAGGCGTCAATGCCATCGACCTCGAGGATTTCGTCGAGGTTCGAGAACGCCGTCGTGGTCTCAAGCTGGGCCATGACAAGCATCTCTTTGTTGGCAAGCTCCATGTACTCGGTGCGTCGCAGTCCTGGCTGGTCGATCAGACCGCCGTCGTTGTAAAAGGTGCCGCGGCCTCCGCCCCAGCTCCGCTGTCCATCGGGCACGAACCGGCAGGCGTCCACTAGTTGCTTCGCCTGCTCAGCGTTGTCTACGTGCGGACCGAGCACACCTATGACTCCCCTGTCGAGGAACTGGTTGATTGTGGAAGACGTCAGATTCGGCACCCTGGCGGTGACCGTAAGGCCGTAGCCGTCTGCGGTCCTGACCATCGCGTCGATGGACTCAGGCGAGAAGAGGCCGTGCTCACCGTCCAGATTGATGTAGTCGAATCCTCCGAGCATTCGACTAGCTCAATTGCTTCAGCGGAGGGATACACCAGTCCCAGACCGAGGCCCAACTTGCCTTCTCTGTTCTTTACAAATATGTTGTTTGTCCTGAATGTTGCCATGTTGAACTCCATTTGCTACTGCTACTGATTAGCTATTAGTAGTTATTAATCGTACCAAGTGTCGGCTCTACCTCAAAGGCGGCATGACGTTTCTAAGCCAAGAGCCGAGATCGCCATAACTTCGTCGTTGATAGCGTGGCCCATGTGGTACTCGTGGTATTCTGGTTCGTAGCCGTTCGACGCTAGGAATTCTCTGGAATCCCGGGCAGCCTGTATACCAATCATCTCATCCTGTGTGCCGTGGTGCAACGAACACCGGCTGGTCTCGAAACTCCGGCAGCCGACTCGGCAGGCCGTCGGGATTGGGCACGCTGCCGCTTAGATGACCAGCCCTGCGAACTTGTCAGGTCTGGGAAGACCGAACCTGTAGGTCATCATTACCGCCTTGGGAGAAGCCGCCCATAACGATACCACCGTCAGTGACGCCGTGCCGTTCGGCTATCTCGTCGTAGAAGCCGACTAGGAGCTCTTCGGCGCGTTCGGCGGCCCTTTCGGCGGTGTGGGCGTCGGCCGAACCACGGGGCGGCGTCCAGGCGTAACCGCTCATGCCAGGTCCGATCTGCATCTGGATCGGAGCGTTGGGAAGAAGTAGAGGTAGCCTGTCCGGTCAAGCATAGTCGACAGACCAGCCAAGTCGTTCATACTCGCTCCGTAGCCGTGAGCAGGACGACGGCCGGGTACTCCTGGAGTGGATCGTAGTCGTCAGGTTCGACAACCAAGTATCTAAGCGAGTTACCGTTGATCTGTCGAGATTGCAAACTAGCCCTCCTCATTCGGCGGATAGGGTAATACCGCGTTCGTGCTTTCGCAACATCCAACTTGAACGCCGAGGGCGTCAGACATTAGAATCGCACGCAGTCCAGAGGCCACCCAAGAACGAGAGGACACTATCCAAGCATGAGCAAATTGATTGAACTGATCGGAAGGCTTGGACAGCAGTCGGCCCAGCCTATAGGCTTTGGCGCTCTTGACCGCACGGGTCGAAGCATCGCCAACAATGGCGCTGATAGGCGATGCTTCGCATGGGGACTTCACAGGCGGGATGGATGATGAAATGGCGGGAGTCGTGGATGCGTTGCTGTTCATTGGAGCAGAGTCGAAATCCATTCTCGCAAATTCGTTTGACGAGAGCCTTATCTGGGGCGTTAGTTGCGGCAAACTATCAGTTGACGAGTTGGACGCGCTGGAAGAGGCAGGTTGCGACTACTTCGTGATAGATCCGCAGACTGCCCCTGCCGCGGTGGTCGGACGCCCGGATGTGGGAACATCGTCATGATGTCTGAGGCTGCGGATCGGGAGACGGCTGTGGCACTTCCGTCTCTCGGTGTGGATGGAACGCTCAACACATCCGCAGTGGGATCTGGGGACCTAACTTTCGACAGCCTGGTGCAGTTGACCAAGGTCGGCGCTTCGACTGGCGGAGTAATGCTGGTCAGAGTGGAGAGCGACGTGTCAGTCACCGATCTTGGCGCGCTGAGAGACGCCGGGGTGGACGGGGTTGTGGTATCCGCTGGTACCCAGGCCGGAAAGGACCTTCTAAAGCAGCTGTCCAAGTCAATCAGGGAATTGCCTCCGCGCAGGCGGGGGGAGTCTCGCAGAATGCAGGCGGCTGCGCCGCGAAGTTCCGACTAGGTGGTCTTCTCACTCCCACCTGTCACTGTCCCAAGGCCAGGCGGCTGATCAAGAATTCGGGCAATCCGTGTGAGCGCATCTTCTCCTGGGTTGCGGCGAAGTCGTACTCGATGCGGTAGTGAGTGATAGTGTCTTCGTCTGAGTCGTACACGGCATAGGCTGCCCGGGGATCGCCGTCGCGCGGCTGCCCCAATCCTCCAGGATTGACGATCAGGCGCTGGTCTGCCAGGGAGTAGGGAGTGCCATACAGCGGCGCGAAGAAGCGCACGCCTGACTGATCTTCCGACATGCGGCAGATGAACGGGATGTGCGAGTGGCCAACGAGGCACCAGTAGGTGTCGAAGTGATTGAAGCATGCGACCGCGGCACGCTCCGAAACGACGTATTCCCAAATCGGGTCTCTTGGACTCCCGTGGACGATGGTGAACTCGTCGATCTCGAGCTTCAGTGGCTGGTCGCCCAGGAATTCGCGTCTTTCCTGGTCCAGAACCTGTCCGGTCCAGATATTGGCCGCCGCCGCATATTGGTTGAATGCCTCAAGGCTTAGCCTTCCCACGCAAGCCAGATCGTGATTACCAGCGACCGCGCGATGGTCGTGTTCTCTAACGAGGTCGATTACCGCGGCGGGATCCGGACCGTATCCGACCAGGTCTCCGAGCGACCAGATTTCGTCGAAACCCGGGTTAGCACCGGCCCTTTCGATCACTCTGGTGAGCGCTTCAAAGTTGCTATGGACGTCTGAGACTATGAGAGCTTTCAATTGGCGCCTCGGCTTGTTGCCGCGTGATCGGTCTGAATATAATACACGAGCCGGGGGTAAGCCCGTGATTGTTCGGCCCGCCCGCCCCTGAGTCCTTTCGCAACAGGCCGATGAAGGACAATTTTCGTATCCACTCCATGCAGATCACTCTCGAATCACACGCCACATCGACAACACACGAAATCGGCCGGACGATTGGCTCGAAAGTCGTGCCCGGCGATATAGTCTTACTCTCCGGAAGTCTCGGCGCGGGAAAGACCACGCTCACACAGGGAATCGTCTGGGGGCTGGGGTCGGCAGAGTACGCGCGCAGCCCAACATTCGTGCTGGTCAATGAATACGATGCCAGGGTGCCTGTCTACCACATGGACCTCTATCGTCTGGACTCGTTCGAGGAGGTGGATGGGCTGGGTCTCGATGACTACCTGTACGGCGACGGTGTCTGCGTAATCGAGTGGGCAGATAAGGCATCCAGCTACTTCCCGGAGCGTCACTTATCTGTCTTCATCAGGACGGTCTCTGATGAGATTCGGGAGTTGACCATAGAGAGCTGTAACACGGAACTCCACTCTATATTTGATGCCCTCGGTCGGATTGGCGCATCGATTACCGGATCGGCATAGTCGCTTGGAGCTTCAGATAGACACATCAACCAGGTACGCGTCGGTCGGACTGTCGATCGAAGGTAAGTCACTGGTCGATATTGCGTGGCGGTCGGAGCGCAACCACTCTGTCGAGCTTGTGCCGGCGATCAACAGAGCGTTTGACCAGGCCGGAGCTCGGATCACCGACCTCAAGGCGGTGTTCACAGTCTCGGTCCCGGCGCGTTCAGCGCGCTGCGGGTGGGGATGAGCACTGCCAAGGCCATCGCCTCTACCAGGGGAATCCCGCTGGTAACCGTTGGGACGCTCGACGTGGAGATCCAGCCCTTCAGGGTTCTCGACCTGCCAATTTGCGCCATTGCGAGCGCCGGTCGGAATCGCCTCTACGTGGGTCGGACCGCCGAAGGTTCAGATGAGATTGCAACTGAAGTGCAGGCCGTGGACGAGTTCCTGGACCATGTATCCGACGGCATTCTGTACTGCGGTGAGGCTGTGTTGGAACTGGCTGACCAGATGGAATCTCGGGTCGGCGCCAGCGCGTTAGTGATTCGATCGGTCCCACCGACGCGGCGAGCGTCTACGACCGCGTACTTGGGTACCAGAAGCTGGTACGGGGAGAGACTGTCGATCCGAGTAGCGCCGAGCCTACGTATCTCAGGAGCTCTCAGATCGCGTCAGCGGCGCGCAGGTGGGGCTCCGGCAACTAACTTCAATCAGGAAATATCACGCATGAGGGAATCAATTGGAAACGACACTAGTTCTGCTAAAGCCCGACGCCATCCAGCGTGGACTGGCTGGTGAAATAGTGAGCCGGTTAGAGAAGACCGGCCTGAAGATCAAGGGCATGAAGCTGTTGCATGTATCACAGGAGCTCGCCAATCAACACTACGGCGAGCACGTCGGCAAGCCATTCTTCGACGGCCTAGTGTCGTTTATCACGTCGGGACCCATAGTCGCGATGGCGCTGGAAGGAAACGGCGCAGTCGCGATTGTCAGGAAGACAATGGGAGCGACCAACCCCGCAGACTCGCCACCCGGGACGGTAAGGGGCGATTACGGAATCGACATTGGCAGGAACCTCGTCCACGGGGTCGGACTCGGTCGAGTCTGCGAAGCGTGAGCTCGCGCTGTTCTTCAACGACGCCGAATTGATCGACTACGCAAGGGCCGCAGACCCCTGGATCACGGAATGACCCGGATCTGACGGGACATCGCCCAGACCGTCTCCAAGCCGTAGAAGTCTCGTTCTTCTGGGCCCATTAGATGGACCAGCACATCGCCGTAGTCCATCAAAATCCAGCCGCTCGTGTGGGAACCTTCGACATGGTGAAGCATGACTCCGGCTGCCTTCAGCGCATCATGCACATCCTCGACGAGCGCGCGCAACTGCCGCGTCGACTCGGCGGTCATAATCACGGTGTAGTCGGCGTAGTCACAGGCCTGGCGGACATCCAGCAAGACGATGTTCGACGCCTGCATTTCATCAGCTATATCGAATGCCGCCTCGGCGAGCGATCTGGAGTCAAGGAGTGTCAATTCAGTCATGGCGGCATTATATTGGCGAGTTCAGGGGCTGGTCAATGAAAGGTGTTTAAGTGTCAGGGTCTTTTCGTTATTGGACATCGTACAAGTGAAGCGGTGTCAATCACCCTCACCCCCGTATCGTGGTACGGGGCAGGCTCCAACCCTCTCCCTGAGGGAGAGGGGGCTATTGTCCCGCTGGTTGGCCTATTCACTGAAAAATAAAAAGACCCTGGGTTAAGTGTAAGCCTCAGTCGCTGAGTCATGTGGGGCTGAAACCGCAAGGCTGCTCGCAGTCTGCTAGAATTCAGACAATCAACGGGGAGAGTATGACTTGGGAGTAGTACATGTGACCGCCGCGGTCCGGAATCCTGCCGATCCTGATCTGGTCTGGGAAGGGCTGTTCCTGGTGGATACGGGGGCGGTCGATTGTCTGGCGCCCAGAGCGCATCTGGAAGCGATTGGCCTCGCGCCTAAAGGCCAGCGGCTTTACAGTTTGGCCGACGGCAGCGAGATTAGAATGGAGTTCACGGTAGCCCAAGTTGAGTTCATGGGTGAGATCGTTGGAGCGACTATAGTCCTTGGGGAGGATGATGCCGAGCCACTCCTTGGCGTAACTGCTCTCGAGTCCGTGGGAATCGAGGTGGACCCCCGCAACCAGACTCTACGGAGACTGCCCGCGACGCGGCTCAAGGTTCTGCGCCCGATGAGATAATGGCACACGTCTTCTCGGCTGTGCTAGGCTTCAAATCATGAGTAAGGGCCAGGTATTGGTCGCCATGAGCGGCGGCGTGGACTCTTCAGTCGCTGCGCTGCTGCTGCATCGACAGGGTTACGATGTATTCGGAGTCACTATGCGGCTCTGGTCCGTCGAGCGGGA